AAATACACGATCGAGTATACTCTGACATGTCTGATCCATCTTTATGAGCCGAGGATTCACTATTCCAGATACTTCACCACTTGCTTCTGTGTTTTGCACATATCCTCTGGTCTTGCCTAAGTAGGTAGGTAGTTTTCTATTCTTTAGCAGATATCTCAGACTGCTCAGATTCAATCTTTTTCAGTTTTTTGAGGAGACGTTTTCAACTAGATTTAGTGAAATATTTATCGGGCTCTCTTAAAGGTGTAGGTGACTTTTAACTAATTTATGATTCCTCTCATTTAGTTTACTTTTCACAGTTTGATGAATAGTTAAGGCTTTCGCCATCAAGCTTCATTTGAAATTTCGCTTTTTTTCTTGGACATTCCACCTTCGTCAGTTTCTGTGGACTGAACAGGCGATATTTTTCTTCGTTTCTGTCGGTCAAACGTTTCGCCTTCAAATTCACTTCATTGCCCACTGGATATAAAGTAAATTCCGAAGGGTAAACCGCAGATCAGTTTTTGTACACCGGATTGCGGTTTTAGAGCCAATCATGAATAATTTCCCATGATAATATTACCTCAAATCACATAGCTATCTGTGACATAGCGTTTTCACCGCTGCGGCAAGAACGCTCCGGTTTGCCAGGATAGTGTAAGCCCATTGTATTGAATGAGAGCTGTCACACACAGCGTTGTACCGCACCCAAACCGGATGCTACCGCATAATTACTCATGATTTTATTAAGATTTCCTCCGAAATCATCAAGATTTCCGTTGATTTCCTTATAATTTCCCCTGATTGCCTTAGATTGCCTCGGATTTTTTCTTCATTTCTCCTAATTTGTACACCCTCGCGGTTTACCCCTGAAGAGTGAACCGCAGGTCCGTTTTTGTACGCCAGATTGCGGTGTTAGGGCAAATCATGGATGATTTCTCATAATTCACCCTGATTTCTTCTGATTACTAGATTGCCCAAGAGCTCCCCTGATAACATTACCTCGAATTTTAAATATTTTTGAAAACTGCGCATGCGTTAGATCTAGAGATTGATTGATTTTCATAAGATTTCTCATGATTTCCTTGAGATTTCTCCCGAGATCCTTATGATTTTTCCTGATTACCGTAGATTTCTTTGGATTTTCTCTTAATTTCTCCGAATTTGTACACTACTCCCCTCGCGGTTTACCACTGAGGAGCGAACCACAGGTCAGTTTTTGTATGCCAGGTTGCGGTTTTAGGGCAAATCATGGCTGATTTCCCATAATTTATCCTGATTTTTTCTGATTACCAGTAAGATTGCCCAAAATCTCCACTGATAACATTACCTCAAATCAGGGTGGTGTCACACATAGCGATCTGTGACATAGCGTTTTCACCGCTGCGGCAAGAACGCTCCGGTTTGTCAGGATAGTGTAAACCCATTGTATTGAATGAGAGCTGTCACACACAGCTTTGTACCGCACCCAAACCGGATGCTAATCACTCATGATTTTATTAAGATTTCCTCCGAAATCATCAAGATTTCCGTTGATTTCCTTATAATTTCCCCTGATTGCCTTAGATAATACCTCAAATTATAAAGATTTTTGAAAACTGCACATGCGTTAGATCTAGAGATTGACTGATTTACTTATAAGGTTTTCAATGATTTCCTTAAGATTTTTCCCGAGATCCTTAAGATTTCCCTTGATTTTTTCATGACATGCTTATGATTTCCCTTGATTGCCTTAGATTTCGTCGGATTTCCATTGCGATTTGTCCCTGAGGACTGAACCGCAAGTCAATTTTTGCAGACCACATTGCGGTTTTAGGGGAAATCATGTATGACTTTCTAAAATTACTTCTGACTATCAGTGAGATTTTCGAAGAGTTCCCCTGATAACATAACCTCAAATTATGAAGAATTTTTGAAAACTGCGGATGCGTTTAGAAATAGTTGTATAAACTATTTCTAAGGATGATCATGGATAAGCCAACATCTAAAATGGATGCAACACAGCTTAGCACATCAGAGACAAGAGCCTTAGAGAAGATGAAATTGAATATTATTCCCCAGAAAGCCAAAATAGTGACAAGAACGATAGAAATACAAGAGATACAAAACACAAGAGTAAACGACAGTAAAGGTGCAACGCCGGTTCTAGCACAAAATCAGTCATTTTCCCATGTAAATCTTCATAAGAAAATCTGAGGTCCGTTCTGGCAATTTTCGTGCCATTTTGGAGTAGGGGTAAAATTTCAATGAATTTCTAGGTCTAGAGACAGGTCTGTATACAGTTATACAGGTCTAGAGACAGGTCTGTATACAGCTATACAGGTCTGGAGACAGGTCTGTATAGGTGTATACAGACTTTTACTCTAGATAATATACGTCTGTATACAAGTCAAGAGGTGCTAGGTTTGTTCGATGAGCCGCTTGGAGCCAGGTACGGTCAATGACCCTGAAGCAGCGGCGACTAGAGTCCGCGTCAACAGTAAAGAGTACGGTGACGACACGGAAAGCTGCGCGAAGCGGGTCGGATCTCTCTCCCTCGTCTATCTCTCCCTGTCAGCCGTGACCTCGGACGTGAGCTGAAACCAGCAGCGGGGTATCTTTTTAGACAAAACTTGGATAGAAAATAATCTGAATAAATCTGCTGGCCATACGACAATGAACCACATGGTTGGCGTTCGGCAGCAGCACCGAACAATACGATAGTTCGGTTAGTCTTCAAAATTGGGTTTGTGCGCATTTGACGTCACCGTACTCTTTACTCTTGACGCGGACTCTAACCAGCGATCGATGAAAGATACGGGTACTGGAAAGGGGGCGGTGCATAATTCTAGAAATTCATTGAAATTTTACCACCACTCCAAAATGGTACAAAAATTGCTAGAATAGATTTACATGGGAAAATGACTGATTTTGTGCTAGAACCGGTGTTGCACCTTTACTAAAGACTATTCCCTGGAGACAGTCAAACTCAATTTAAAAAAAGAACCGGACAGCTGAAGTATCTGGATGATTTAGGGCCGGTATTTTAATGTCACCTTAAGGTACAGAATAACGTTAAGTAATCCTTATTACAAGTTCCACCGTATATCAAAGTTCTCTTAATTCAAGGTGGATCTGAAGCCAACTGAATGAAATGGTTTCAATTTCACCTTAACTTTAAGGGTACCTTAGGTAAGTCTTGATTTCAAGGTAACATTGAAATACCGGCCCTTAGGATACCTACGTAAGGTGAGATTTTTAACAAAATAATTTGGAGAAGTTAGATAAAAAGATATGATCAAGTAGCAAAGAGGAGTAATGCCCGTATAACATCTGTGTATTTTGCCGTGTATTTATTCATTTAGTTCAGGCTGACAACCAAAAAACTTCAAAGGCAACATAAATCAGCATTATGAAAAAAAAAAAAAAATGTTGGCACCCTGGAACTACTTGAATAAATACACAGGAAAATACACTGATATAATACGGGCATTATAGTGAGATATTATTTTTGAGAAAATTTACAATCGAACGAAATTTATTCTACATCAGTTTGCCTATCTATCCCACGCGAAGTCTCTATTACTGATACTAAAATTGTTTCTCATATTTCTACAGTTTACTGCAGTTTACTGTTTGGCAACATACATGGTGTAAATGCAGGTAATTTCCTACGTCACTATGACAGAAAAAATTCTATAGATATAAAAAATGGTAAGTTTCCAGCCCTTGATTCTTTCAGGCACATGCTCAGCACTGCAGCTTTAAAGACTTATTGTGTATCCTTGCACATGCCCTACTCGTCCTCATTCACTCTGCAAGTTGGACGGTCGACCGACGCTAGCGGTACCCCAATGCGCCTTTACTGGTGAGATTCCCTTGAACTTGGCATCGGGTGACTCGGCGGTCACCCATCCAACTTGCAACCCGGCCCCATATTGCTTGGCCGCAGATAGCTCGTTTTTATCGCTCTACTACGACCCAATAAGTCCACCCCTCTACTAAGGCTGATCTCAAGAACAAGTGGTGTCAGTGCACTGGCGATCAAAGTAAATTTGATCGCATTGATGCCCCTTTTACAATGGACCCTTTGCTGCAGGTTCTGCTTCACCTTTATTTCATATATCGCGAAGAAGCTTTTCGGCCCTTTTTGAACTTGGTGCTGCTCTCTTTGCCCACTAATGTTAATGCATAATGAAATTTATACGGAGACTCCGTGGATGTTCTACTCTGCTGTTCAATGAGTCCCTTACTATTCTATTTTCATCTAAGAATAAATTCTCTACGGTATGGTAAAATTTACTGTCGAGCTAAATTTTTTCAAACGTCTTTTCTCTCTTCTCAATTAATTTATTCTGTTTCTTTCAAGTTTATCTACTCCGTTTATTTGTGGATTACCCATGTAACACCTTACAAAGAAACTTTCTAGATCAAGATAGTTTTAAAAGAAAATGATAAAAGCTAAATTCATAACACATGCACGAAAGTTGGCTAAATTATTAAAGCCTAAAATATGATGTCAGACAATAAAAACTCTGAAAAAAATTAACGATCCAAGTTCATAAAAGTTCACCATCTTAATGATCACAACTCCAGTGAATTAGCGAATGACACGACGTTTTTTTTATACACGCATTCGTTCGCGGAACCGCAATAAAGCAAAAGCTTTAATATTATGATTTATCGCGACTTCGGGCGGACTCCTAAAATATTTTGATGTCTTTATTAATCTTAAAAGAATTTCAATTCTTCTTTTTGAGCCTGCACTCCAGTGATCAAGTTTTAAGTGCTGCATCACGACTGTAAAAAGTTTGCGTTATGAAAAAATAAAACGGGGGGTCCGATATGCACGGTCATGCTTCTTAAAAACGAAATATATTTCAAGTCAGAACATTAAATGCATTTGCGTTTTCGACATCTTAGTATTTTAATAAAAAAAAGTAATAGCAGTCTATAAAACAACTCCTATAATCGGGACATTGACGCTACCCTCCAAGCACTTTCATCTAAGAAATTCTTCTTAAAATTTTAATAATACATACCTTGGTTTGCGCGAACTACCCCTAAAAAAAGCACCATTATTAACGTCGTGAATGACAGTAGATCAGGGGTGCGAAACGCCATGGTTACGAAAACGGGGTCCAAACAGTTACACTCTAGGGGGTCCGCCAGGCATCACTGGCAGCGACGTTCGGTTGTCTTTCTGTCACATGACTTGATACGGGCCCTCATTAATTGTTGATCTGGAACAGAAAGAAATTTTGGGGTTAAATTTCATTTGATCCCGTGCGAAAATTTCGAATGGGTGCTGGACTTAACATACGGGAATATTAAAAGTGTCAGCCGTTAATATTATTTAAAAATATTATAGGAGACAAAATGGACTAGGATTTGAACCAAATATTATCGATTGTACCATGAAATCTGACCATCAAGTTCAGGCTCAAATCCTTGTGGAATCCAATTTTTCGTCGACTTTTAATTATAATGTCTGCTAAGACACAAAAAGCTCATTTATCTACATTAAATTCACCGACAGTAGAAATTCTACCTTGACAGTCATTAGTAAGTTCAATGAATTAATAAAGATTGATTGCCGGAGCAATAAATACTGCTTAAATAAAATCTCACCAAGTTTTATCAAAAAATTCAAAGTTATTTACTTAATTTTCCAGCTTTTATTTCGTTACTTACTTTTTTTTCTAATATTATTCAATTGTCAAGTTTAGTTGATTCCACAAAAGTTTCACCGAATGACAATTATCTTTCAAATCAACTGAAAATTGCTTAAAAATTTGAAGCATATATCAGAAGCAAAAGCAAAAAAATTAATGGGTATGTAATAATCTGTTTCATAATTCTACTATCAGTGCAAAAACTTGAAGAAAACGGTTATCAAGTCCTGTTCATAAATAAGCAAGCACAGATAATTAAAAATGGAAAAATGGTTTTGAAAGGCCATCTATGTGGAAATTTCTATGTAATTGCACTAATTATTCCACTCATGTGTTAGAAATCCCATAAGACCAGTGACGATTTTCAGAATTACAGCGAAAATTCTCTTCTCCATTTGTTTAACTAGAGAGAGTCACAGCGATAATTCTCCCATGTTATTGTATACATGGTTGTCATGCTAATTTTTGATACAAACAAACGGTTCCTGATAGCAAACATTTATTTTCATTGATTGTTAAGATGTTCAAATCGTTTAATACATATTTATTTCCATATTTTTTGCATTCTCATACGTGAAATAATCCTCTAAATACCACTTGAGCCAGATAATTTTTCACTCATGCGTGTTTTCTCTGCAAATTTCACTCGTCCTACGGACTCGTGAAATTATAGAAAACACGCAATCGTGAAAAATTATCGGTAATTTTGAAGCTCTCATGGTATTATCCCCGAAACTCCCTGAAACAGCGCAAACACATTTAACATCAAATGAAATGTTACTTCAGCATAGACGAATGGGGAAGTCTGTCTTCAGAGCAAACAAACTTTGGAAAAATACCGAATGAAAGAAAACCAAAATGTATCTTAGAAGTAGTGTCAACAGACGTTTGAATATCAATAAGTCCACCAACACACGATGGAGAGTCGTATTATGTGAGCTTCATTGACCATTTCTCGCATTTTGGAATGATTTACTTGATATCGAAGAAGAGAGAGGTTATCAACAAGTTTACAGAATATGTGCCCCAAGTTGAAGCAAAGTTTGGTACTTGGATTACAAGATTGAGATGTGACATTGATGGTGAGTACTCGTCCACTGAATTTAAGAGATTTTGTGGCAAAAGAGGAATAGAAATTCAGTACACTGTTGCTCGCAATCCAGAGTAGAACAGAGTTGCAGAGCGATATGGGGAGAAGCTGTAAGAACTGCAGTGTACCTAACAAATAGAATTCAAACTAGAACATCAATGTCCTACAGAAATCTGGTATGGTGCAAAACCAAACTTGAATAAAATCAAGCTTTTTGGTGCAACAGCTTATAACCTAAAACTAAAGAGGAAAGATCCTCAAAACTTGACTCCTACAGTAAAAATTTGATAATGGTTGGGTACACCAATAATGGCTACAGGTTGTGGGAACCAAAAACTGAGAAAATAGTGGTGGGAAGAAACGTAGTTTTTGATGAAATAACAAATGAAGGCCAAATTTCTATGGAATTAAATAATGAGAAGGAAAAAGACGAAGAAAAAGAGGTTTCAGAACAAGAAAAAGTTATAGAGCTTGAAAATGGACAAAATGAGACGGAACAAAAACATCAGAAAAACCAGCACCAGAATCAGACAACTTCCTAAACACTTAAAAAACTATGTCTTAGAGTTAGCAGATTTTATGGCAGCTCTTTCTGCGGGTGCAACAATTTCTGATGTACCACAAACATATTATGTTGAAGCAGTGAAAGCTGGTGGCTGGCAAGAAGCTAAAAATCAGGAACTGGATTCGCTCAAAGAAAACTACACATCTGCACCAAAAAATCAGGAGATTATTGATCCAAAATTGGTATTTCGTGAAAAGAACCTCAATGGTGAAAGTGTGAAAAAGGCTAGGCTTGTAGCTCGTGGTTTCAAACAGTACTCACTTGATGAAGATATGTACGCACCAGTTGCTAGAATGGTGACGATTCGTGTATTAGGTATTATCCCTATTTCTTGAAAATAATTTAATTTACTCGTGCAGCAATTAGATGTAAGTCCTGCATTTTTATATGGAACTCTAGAAAAGCCAGTGTACATGAAACAACCACAAGGACTTGATGAAAATCTTAATCTGGTATGTGAACTTTATAAATCTTTGTATGGTCTCAAGCAGGCACCTAAATGTTGAAACAGTTTGTTCCATAAAAATCTTGTAAATTTAGGTTTAGAAAGATCTAAAAAGGATACCTGCTTATATTTTGATGATAAAACTTTTCTTATGGTGTATGTAGATGATGTGATCATATTTTCAGAAGGTTTGGATAGATTAGCTTACTTGAAGTTAGAACTTTCGAAGGTTTTCAAAATTCATAAATTCAAAAATAACCTTTTTGGGACTGGAAATACATAGCATACTAGTCAAAAAGGATTAATAAATAAAGTTTTACAAAAATTCAAAATGTTAGATTCAAAGTTTTCTGAAATTTCTATGTAGCCAAAATTACAGTTAAGTATCTGGTAATTGTCGTATTTTTAATAGTAAGCTTCCTTATCGTGAACTCATAGGGAGTCTAATGTACATCATGGGTCTAGGCCGGATTTAAGTTTTTCTATATCTTACTTCAGTCAATTTCGAAACACCTTCTCTGAAAAGCATTGGAATTGCTTGAAGAGTGTTTTGAGATACTTAAACCTAACTAAAAATTTTGATTTAAAATATATTAAAAGTAGGTAAAAATCCTAATGTAAATTTAATTTCTTTCGTGGATTCTGATTTTGCTAATAGTATTGCTGATCGTGAGAGTATAACAGGTTTTGTGATAAAACTGAATAAAAATGTAGTTTGCTGGAAGACAAAGAAACAAAATATTATAACTTGATCCTGTGGGGAATCGGAATATATCGCTTTATCATCTTGTATAGGTAACAGAAAACATGTTCATGGGCCAAATGCTCACCGAGATTTTAAGTACAAATAATATTTTTCCTATTGCTATCTATGAAGACAATCAATCGTGCATAAAAATGGGTTCAACTTTGGAATCAAAAAGAATGAAGCACATTGATGTCAAACACCACTTTGTAAGGGATTGCATAGGCCAGAATATAATTATAAACTTCTGTACATTCAAACCGAAGAAGCCGACATATTCACGAAACCTTTAGGTGAACAAAAATTTCAGTATTTTCGAAATCTTCTTAATGCTGTTTCTTTGGAAATCGAATGAAGCATTTATTTCTTAGTTTTTGAAATAGAAATAGGGTTTAGATTAGTTTAGAATAAAAATGTATTTGGTTTGTAATTTGATTTATGAAATAGGTATAAGTTTAAATTCTAGGTCAGGTATGGTTTGCATCTATTGAAGAGGGGTGTTGTTATTGCCATATCCGTGAACGCAGCAATACATAAAACCAAACATGGTTGTACCGATAAGGATTTATGTGTTTTACGATAGTAGTGTTGAAATCTTCCCTCTGTCAAAAATTAATTTTCGACAGTTGACATATAACACATGTTTCTTTGGACTTCCAGTTGTTGTTCTCTGGTCAAGAGAAATCAAGAAGTGTACTTTGCATATCAATATCCATATAGATTCAAAATAATTTCACGACGATTTCAGATATTAATATGCAGTCTTAATAGGTAATCCTTTACCTACTCTCAAAGAGTTGCAGGCTCATAATATGTTACATACTACTATTATTCTGGCATAGGTAGTCCATGGCTTCAGAGTCTGAGCATAGTTGCGTTGAAAGTTTAGTTATAAATCCACAAAGGCCACAATGGACATTTTCATTTGATTTCGCAGCAGACATTATCATGACTAAGGTTGCACATTACACAATATTAACTCGAATGCATATACATTTATATTTTGATTCTTGTCATATTGACTAGTGCTAAAAATACAACAGAAAACATAAGTAGCAATAATTATTTATATTAGTTGCAAACTTGTTGAAGGATGCTAACCAATCATTTGACAACTTCCCTGTAATTAAGCAGAATTTTTAAATCCTAATAAAAAATGGTTTCATAAATACCTACTAGTTAAGGTTTTAAAATATAGGATTAAGTGTTATAAAAGTTTGCTTCAAGAAGCAGCTCTTCTTTTCGACCAAAGCTCATCAAAAATTGGCGTGATTATATAAATTATCTTTCAAATAGAGTGAATCGCAAAATTTATATATCAAACGCCTATATTCATAATATTTTAATCTAATTAGTTTACTTAGAACTTTATTTAGTCATTAAACAACATACTCTTTTTTCAGGGTCTTTAAAGCGGAAAAAATGGTTCAAATGTCCGTCCAGGTTATATTACAATGAAAAATATAATATCTACCGGCAGGTGTTATGGTTTCAAGTTACCGTTGTGTCCGTAATTATTTTATACTGAATAGCCTATTGAATATAAGGGACAATGGATGATTATGACAATTGAATAGTGGTAATGCATACGTAGAATATATCTTAATATAGAAATGACCATAGTTTTTGACCCCCACTAAGAAAATATTCCTTCAAGGAAATTTAAATCTAAGTTATGATTCCAAAAATAGAAGCCTTGTTATACATAAAATATTTTAATTTA